ACATATAAGTTACAAATTATTTGTTCCAAGGATTTCAATATTTCGACTCTCTTCGTGGTTAATACAACAGATCAAATACGTGTAGCCTGATAAATGCAAAATCAACAATATCCCCTACGACTTTCTTCAACACCTTCCACATCCAATACATTAACGTATGAAGGAGTTGACAATTCAAACGAATCGACACGTGAAATGAAGAGACTCACGAAGGGGTGAGACAAGTGTAACAATGAACAATAAAGGGGTGAGAGGAGAAATACATAAGTTATAAGTCGACCAGGACACCATATGGTGTCAGGAGTGCAGGCAGGACCTTGGAGCTATATAAGCGCAGGACGAACTGGTGGGTGGTGAGATAGACAAGGATAGAAACTACGAGACTCGTGTTATACTGTGTGTACACAATCATCACAATGAGAAATACGAGAAAATATGGTAAAAGTCAATCAGGTCGTTAATATTTGTTTTTTTAAGACACTTATTAAAATACGAATGTTGATAAAAGAATAACTGCTATTCTCAACGAAAATTTTGAAGAGTATAAGCGAAATGTTGTACATTAATTGTTATTCGATTATTTTTCCTGATGACTGGGATGTCAACTTTTTAAAGCTTTCATTTAAAGAACTTGTCGAGAGTACAATAATGTGTAATTAGATGACATTCGTATAAGTAATATTACAAAGCACAAACAGCGGACAGTAATTATAAAATAATATGAAAAACCGACAACCGATGTCCTTGACTTCATCTGATTCTAATTTGCCCAAGGGATAAAAAATCCGCTCTGCAAACAGTAAATAGTTTTATCAAACCAAACAGTTGGCGCTAGAATAAAACAAAAATCATACAGCCTAAAGCAGGGAACATTTTACATACATTTCATCTGTCTGGAGCCGGACTTGTTACTGAGGTTACAGCATCCCGGTGGCATCCCCAGAATGTTGTTCCGACGAAATAAAAGAAGAGCGTAAAAGTCGGAAAGCCAGATTGGTTCTTATGATTTTATTTTCAATTTGGACCGTGATATCGTATCTCGGATGCTAATTGACAGCTATAAAACGAGATGGCTGGACCCGCAGGTGTCCTCGACCTCTTCTTCTTCTCGCTTGATACATGGCCACCAGGTGACATTTCTAATATAGTTTTCCTAATTTATCAGAATTGAGTTTATCCTTGCAAATGTCATTAAATATTTGTTTGTTCAAACTGAAAAGCACGTTGATATGTGTGAAAATTTTTTGTGGGACAAAGGCTTCTTTCGCGATAACGATATTTTGCATGAGGCGTTTCCACTGTTCATGGAACCTAAGGTAAGTAGAGGATAAATTCTGTAGTGTTTATAGAGAAAGTTATTTGTTATAGTCCAATAGTGTGATGAACAATGCTCTAAAGAAGTTTTAATTCATTCCTGCATGTTATTTACCAATACAAACGTAAACTAACATCGATCAGGAGTCGACCCAATAAAGTACTTTGCAACTACCCGGTATACGTTTTAGTGACACAAAACTTCATAGACAAACAGCTACACCACAGAAATATCTAGGATTCATCAATATTCCATGGACCCAGCTGTCCTTGGTCATTGGGCTACTAATAAATGACACTGGCCAAAGAAATAGCTGATCAGAGCTTAAAAATTAATGTCGCTCACACTCATCTTCTGTTTATAAGTGGACTAAAATGCGCAATAATAGCTTAGTGTCTTCTTTACCCCGCAATAGTCATTTTCGTCTAAATAAGGTTACCCAGGTTTTGCTCGTTCAAATGGAAAGTATTCATAATCAAGACGCTTAGAAATTTAGAATATCATCTCATTATTTATTCGAAATTCCGGTAGCTCACGACGGCGCACACATTCAACAACACAATTGTAGCCTTTTCAAAGATTCCACAAGTAAACATAGGCACGACCGAGCATCAACCATCAATCTACATATCAATGTAAAAATCAATAGAGCGACACGAGAGTCATGACGTAAAGCCAAACACGACCGAGGACTGAAGAAGAAGAAGTGCACGTGGGCGAGAGGGCTGCATGGTACAGATCGTGCTGGCCGCGCAGACGTCCTACCTGGGAAACAAACAAAACGGGCCGGACAATGACTTAAAATAACCAACCCCGAGTACAATACATGACACCGATACCCTGGGGTTTGACAAAGGCGACACCTTGCCGCCGTCGCCTCCACCTACACCGGGCCACAGCACGTTCTGGAGTGGATAGTCTACCAAAACTACACCGAAGTGTGATATTAAAAAATATCTATTTGCGTAAATCTATAGTGTGAATATGGACGATATCGTATTGAACATGTTTCGAACGCATCACGGTTCATCATTCATCGCAGATCGGCGCGGCGAATTATTACAATGTTTGTCAAGTTCACAAGGACTAAGTTAAAAATACTACCAACCGTTTGCTGACACATTGAATATATACTAGTGTCCCTGTTGCTCCAATTCGAGCAATTTCTAAGTAAGCTACAGGCGTTATTGTAAAACGAATGTCAACCAAGTCAGCAAATGTTTGTAGCAAACTGTTAAATTAGCAGACGTATTGATTGTTTACAATTAACATGCTCCGCTTCTCACTTTTAATTTCTGACAACAGCTGAAGTTTTATAACAATTTTTGTTCCCCACGTTAATCTTATGGAGAAATTCGAAACTTTAAAGGACCCTAGGGCCTCACTCTCTAATTATTTCCCTAAAAAGAAAGTTTCCTGCACAACTTCACGTTACGCTCTTTCCAATGACACCAAAAACATGTCAATCGGTTCAGTAGTTTCGGAGGAGTAATTGTCACAAAAATCTTGCTTGCGTATTAAATAAGTACACCTTCTTACACAATACACCTAAGCACACCTTCTTGCAGTGAATAATAATATAGTTTCGATGGGTTAAAGAGAAACAAACGTAAAATTGGTGAACTTGGTAAAAGATGGTAGTGCGGTTCCTGGAGACTTAAACGAACGGATATAATGAAGGCTCTGTGTTGTTGGGCTAGAACACAATCAACCAGAGTTGTATTTGGTTATGAAACGTACGTAGTAACCAAATCACAAGTGAGCACAAGTTACACTTTATTTGTTACATATTTCTTCCTGCATAATGAGACAGCCTATCACATAACTCACTATGATCCGCACCGACCGTTCTGGCCTTGTAATCTATCAATCTTGAGTTACCTGAGGTGTTCATTAGACAAAATCACTTAGGAAACAAAGCGGGCCGAGAAGAGAATACCTAAACCCTCTAGACAAAGGAAGGCACGACAGGGGGTGTCCTAGACATTCCTGCTATTGTATATCAGACACGGACAGTTGTTAATTAAACATATAGAGTGATACACAATCAGGGAAGATGAGTTGCGCGATGGTGAAGCATGTCAAAGTGACATGGGGTTGTTTCAGGTGATCATTACTGGGATCTGGCATGCTGAAGTGCAAATCATCCAGTAGTAGATGACATGAGAGATTAGGGTTGTAAAGCAATTAACTCAAGGAATTAGAGGTACTAGATGTGCTACTGTGACAAAACACATGGAAAACGTTCAATGGATTAGATTCAGAAGTTTCAGTAGAAATAGTTAGTATTTTTGCAAAAGATTATTGGGGTTGCGGAATGGCACAAATGTTGTGTAATTCCCTAATGACATCCTAATAGGCTAAAAGGTTATTAGGCCTTAAAGTAGTTTAAGCAATTGTATCAGCTGTTCGTCAGAACTATAAGAAAAATACGACAAAAATCTACTTCAATTTTTACATTACACACCCTATCCCGACAACGTGGGCCTATATGTCCATCAAAAGTTACACTAAATACACGTCAAGTTCAAACTAAAATGTCAAACTGTACCGGAACTCCACTGTGGGTGTTGATGTAAACAAGACCCAACTAGGAAAAGAAGTTTCTCTCCGGTAGAAACCACGCAATAGTGTCCTTCGTGGAATACCAGGATGGGAAAAACAAGAGTGATTTTCCTGTTGGTACTTTTCCTGTTGTAAACGATTAGGTTAGATGACAGTTTGTAAATAATAACGTTTAATAACTCTTTCATGTTGAAACTGTCCATAAAAACTAAAGAATACGTAATAGAGATATTCCGACCTGTAGCTTACCCAAATCGTTCCCTAGTTTACATTTTTATTGGTGGAGAGAACAAGAGCAACTCGTTAACCACGTATCTGTTACCGCGTGACCTCAGGACCATACTGATAACATTGGTGCAAACAATGATAAGGGATTTAAAACACCTGCTCTGTAGTACAATGCTTGTTGTGCTCGGTAGAGTGGTGGTAACCGAGAAATGTCGCAGTAAAACTGATAGCACGGAGAGCGCAGACATTAACTGATAAGAATGCGTCTTAACAATGGATTCAGGTGGCTGACAAAATGGAAGACTGTATTGTTAAAGGCTAGAAGGGTGTCATGAAGATGCCCTGTGTGGAGTTACAGCAAGTGGACATTTCAGGAACAGTTGTGTTGTTTTAATGACTTTGTTTGCGTTATTTATTTAGTTTTTGGGTTTTTTTACGAGACGAGAGTAAAGCCCCTGAAAATAATGAGCATAAGAGTTATCCGTCAACAATGAGGAGATAGAATCATTCGCGTGCAATTGATTTGCGTTCTACGCTCAGCACTTTTGCCTAGAAAATGAATCTGTATGACTAATTGATTGTTTAACCTAACGAATAGTACAAATATAAAAAGGTTCTAAAGTTTTAATGTCTTTTTAGGTTTTTATAAATAATTTTTCTCTAAGCCACAGGAGTAAAATTGTAACGAAACATAAGTCTAATTTGGTCTTATATCCTTTAACATCTTCGACAATACATAAAACTGTAAGTTTTACAAATTTCATGTTGATTCCTCAATAATCTCTGAACAAAAACAAAACAAGGTATTATCCAACAGGTGTTCTTTAACACGACTTTTCACGAGTTCCTCACACGGAAATCCAATTAAACTCAATCAAATCGCTTCATTTACCTCAGAAATCGACCTCCTGGGTTCCTAGTGGGCTGGAGAAACACTCGAACACACAAACACACATAACACAATAGTAGTTTACGCGACACGACGGAGGTTCACACCGCACGGGCCTCCAAGACAGACTGACGCGGTGCATGCCGGGAGACAGCCCAGGTAGTTCTACAGGTAAGAGCGAGAGCGACAACACGGCGGGATGTGGAGTCAGGGGGAACTGGAACTGTGGACCAGTGAGGCTGGCCACAATAGTCCGTCTTGTATAAAAACACTCTCACATAATTTAATGCTTTGTTGACATTAGGACACTTGACCACGGACTGAACGCGGCATTGTGCGACTCGAGTGGCGGAGTGGGAATTTGGTTGTTTGGGCGGAATTTGTAACGGAGATGTGATGGAAATGTATTGTGGTTTATTTTGTGGTAACGCACGTAATAAAAATAATTCAAGCAATCATTCAATGAAGGTAGTTCTCAAGTATAGAGAAAGTTCTCCTAACCTGAGGGAGTTATCTGTAATCTTTCAAGGTAGGTGACTCGGCGTCACAGCATTAACTGACAACTAAAAACCATTGGTGATAGGTGGGATTTGAACCCGTGACCACAGGAGAGACGTTGTACGCTCTAACCACTATACAGTATAGACCAGACCCGTAATGAAATCTAGTAAATACCAACTACCCGAAGCCTCGTCTTTAGAAGAACAATTGACAAAGTTATTTATCACTTCATGGTTACAAAGGGTGTGGAACTCGGTTTCCATCCTATTTTATTTTATTAATAATAAACAATCAAGAATCTAAAATCGTTGATAAAATAAGTATGTAGATGTGAAAATTGATCTTTTATATTCTGAGAGATTCACGTCAAAAGACAAACTTAATACACCTGCTTTTCTAGATTGCTATACATGATATGTATAAATTTATAATTTCAACAAAACAATCCAAAATTTTCTACCAAACATTTTCATTAAAATACAAACTGCCGTCTTTTACAGTCATTAAAATCAACCAGCAACCTAAAAATCCAGTTGGTACACCGAACACGAACCAATAACTATTCAAAACTGTTACTATTTTATAAGCCATTAAAATCGCTGGACCGACGACAAATGAGACTGATACGAGATAACATTGTGTTTATGATGATTAGTGTCGAGTTGTTCTGCAGCGGCTGCACGTAGCTACTTATATCACCAGTGCAGCAGCGGTAAGTAGCCTCGCTGGCTTGTCAATGGTTGGTTTACTTCAACTCTCTACAAGGAAACCTGTTTAACCCACTTGTATTGCGATTTTAAAGCTGAATTATACCTAAGTCGCCACGTTGTGTTTATATAACACTAGACATTACCCCTGGATGTAGAGGGTTTAGAATGGTATTACATGTGCTTAAATTGGGAAACCAACAGAAGCGTTGATGTAAATTACTGTTTTCCGTATTTTGACAGATTTTTGTTCATCCCAAATACCTTAGCGTAAACTGGAGCTTCTTTTAGGTTGCATCAATTGTCATAATATTGGAAATTAAGAGAGAAAATATGATAAGAGAAGATACTAGTTGGTTGTATCACACTCTATGAAAGGCTAATTCAACTACTCTCTATTGGAATCAAACTTTGGCTACAGAAGGTACATCCGCGAACTGCCTTCTTAGCTTCGTTTTGCCAATGCTACCACAATTTTTGTGAAATATTTTACTTGTTTAGATAAAGTGTTGACGATGCAAATATAAATAACCAACGTATTGGGTATTTTACAGGAAACAAGTTATAACGATAGAAAAAAAGACTTAGTTTAAAATTCTTCGTAGACCCATAAAAATTGGAGAAAAGAATATGTACAGTTTAGATAAATAATAGCATTTGTGTGCTACGAATAATTTGTAATTGTAGGGGCTCGGTAATGCTATAATCAATATAATTAACTGCATTTTAAAGCTTTAACTACGTTACTTCTTTCACAAAGAAAATGAATCATCGTAAACGAATATAAATAGCAACAGTAATAAATACTAGGTAGGCCTATATTGCCTGTGATCAAAACAAATTCTTTCAAAAATACTGGTTATAAAAAAAATTTTAACATTTTTTGTCAAACTTAAGCGAACTCATAATCATTTAAAAAGAATAAGCTGAAAACAAAAAGGTGTAAGTATTAAATGGGAGAACCGTGCCGGGCGCCTGAAATAAAGAACAGGCAAAACAGAGGCTGCAAGCGTTTTGCATACTCTACCCCTTAATGTGCAATATTATTACAACATATTGTCACCAGTGTTTCTAGTCTATTGGTTAGTTAAATTGGTATTGTGTTAATTAAAAACAGTACTGCCTATATTTTAGAAATCGATTTTTAAATGATTTGTACATTTATACGCAGCCTATGTTGAAAAGTACTTCTCTGTAGTTATACAAATAATAAAATACAAATGCGAAAAGTTTCCATATTCATGTTGTTGGAATATATTTTTTACTTTACAATTATACTGCATGAATATCGAAAATGGGTATTCATTAATGCTGTAGAAATGCACGGATAAATACAATTCAATTGAATAACCACATAACAACGATTCCTTTACGATTATTTTCTCCGTGTAAGTCATCAGAAAAAGGAAAAATGTACGGCTGATGCCCTCGTCTTCGGCTGACTATTTTTTACCCGAGAGGTAAAATTATTTTACCCCCAACAACGCATGTATTGTAAACTAACGTTTTCGATGCTGTATAACAAAAAAATGCTCAGAGCAAACGAACTTGAACCACCTCGCAGCAATAATGTGAGCGGCGTTGCAGAACAGATGATATCAAACTCCCGCCAATTTATTGGCAGAACTGCCCCATCGACCCGCCTTATTACCACTCAGATCAATCCGCAGATAAAATATTTATTATTTATAATTAATTAAAGCCCAAGTGACAGCCGTAAAGAACACGCCTCATCCGGGTGCTACAAATGCTGCGCGAAGATTTTAATTCAGATTTAATTAACTTTTTGCACGGTCGGATACTCAGAAATGAATGGGACTGTAGTGAATTAATTACTATAAACACCTTGGGTGTAATAGTATTTTTATGGTTTGTTATATTATTCCATTATTAACATAATGTTATTCTTATACGTCGACATTTTTACCACAGATGCGACATGAAAGGTGTTAATATACAGTAAATAATATACAGTTAATATGTTAGTCTACATTAAATTATTTTCATTTTGATTTAGTAAACGTTCAGTGTGCACAACATATACTCGTAGCCTAATTATCGACATCAGCAGAATCTTGGTCTCTTAGAGTATCTTTGTGGAAGGGGCTCCTCAACAACTACGGTAGTTTCTTTATAAAATTTAAACATGGGAATGGGAATCTTGTTCTATCCACATTCGAATGTGCAAGCTGAACACGTTTAGTTTTTTTTTCTAAGATCAGCTGATTCTTTAGTCAGGACCACTCTTTAAAAACCCTTAAATTACCCACGATCAAACCGGTACCCTGGTTATTTTGAGCATTTAAATTAGGGTCACGAACATTTCAAATTAAACTGTTTTACATGAATTATAGATAATATTGAGAATGTTGGGGCTGGAAATGCGTAATAGCTTATTCAAAGGTTAAAGTTGAAGTAAGAGGTAGGCTACTAACCTAACTTAAAAGCATCTAACTTTTCTCAGGATCGAACCGGCGGCCTTCTGATCATGAGGCGAGCACGTAAACCCAATCGTAACAGTAAATCGTGTATTTTTCGGTATGCACTCACTTCGTGTACGACGGGACGGTCCGTAGACGTTTCAGTATTCCACAACGCAGGCACGACGCAGTATCGGCTGTGCGTGCTTCTCTTGTAAACACTGAGCGCACGCTCGGCCTCCACGATACGATAAATCACTCTTGGCTTATTTCTACGCTGGTTGATTTGCAAATGCGGGTTTTCCTCAAATAATTTACTACCGCAGTGCCTTCGGGGTCTGTAGAATTATAATTGGCACTGGTAGAGTTAACTATGTAGGTTTCGGAAGAGTTCAAATTCATTAGCTTTTTAACATACGAATATACAACAGAAATCGTGTTAACATATTAGGTTTAAAAACGGAGGTGAACTGTGAATGTAGCTGGGTTACTCACTTAAGACAGGTATAATCCTAATAAGTACTGAGGCCAATGACACATGTTTCACGATTGTTTACAGTTCAATTCTACATGTTTATTTAGTTTTAGATAAAGCCACTCTCGAATCCTTCGATAAGAGATGGCTTAGGTGTGAGGTAACGTTGGATTGGAATGCAGTGACACTATTGACTTTGGTTACTACATGTGGTATCCTCATCTTATAGGAAAATCTAAGGCATTTTAAAGTCCGCTAGGTATAGATTGCGTTGTCGATTCTTTCATGAAATCGGATTTTATATCGGTGAAAGATAGAGATGAAATTAAAAGAGAAAGAATTGGTTGACAACATCAAAAGCAGAAACGTACTGTACCCGCAGAGGGTGGTCTATAGACTCACAAAAATTTTCGTTGTTATATAATTTATGTAATGTCTTTGTAATATATTACTGAGCATCCATCTCATCCATAAAAACAATAGTCAGAGTTAATCAAATGTACAATACTACATTCGATTTGGAATACACTATTAAGATTTTGGTTTGTCAAGGTAAAAAATGGATATCAAGCTAACGTTAAATTAATAAAATATCAGTTAAATAACATGCTAAAAATATTAGCATGTTAGCATGTGTTTAATATCTTTAAAATATTAGTTTGTCGATATTAAGTATTTTTGATGGAAAACTAGTCAATACACTTTGGCATACGTTTGAGCCGTTGTGGAATAAATAAGGGAATTTAGTCGAATAGCAGCAGTATTAAAGTAAATTAAAATAGACTAAAATGTTTCTGCATTTGAAATTGTTGATGGTTTTAAAGTAAATTAAAATATACTAAAATGTTTCTGCATTTGAAATTGTTGATGGTTTTAAAGTAAATTAAAATATACTAAAATGTTTCTGCATTTGAAATTGTTGATGGTTTTAGTAGTCTACTAATTAACTATACTTGTAGGTCAATTGATCACTGTTCCTGTGTTTTAAGGTTGTAAAGCTGATGAACTCGATTCCAG